TACCTTAAATCCGCGATGCAGACGATCTTTCATAATGGCGATAAATTCCTTGTAACTAAGCAGGCCGTCACCGTCCGCGTCAAATATGGCGAACACGGTACGAACTAAATGCTCAGACTGCGCCACGCCAGTGCAGATCTTCACAGCGCGATGGAACTCATCTATAAATTATAAGTAAACCCAAACTTGAAAAATGCCTTATGACGTTTGAAGACTGGAAATAAATATCTAGATTCTAAACTAAATGTGACTAACATTTTAATATGAATCTCTATAACATTTTATTGTGTTTGTTTACGTTTAAAAATTGCGGTGTAGAGATGTTACGTTGCATACGAAAGACCTAACAGCAATAACCTCAAAATAAAAATGCCGCAATCAATTAACAATACTAAAAAAGCTATACCTTTAGAAATGGGATGATCCGCAAGCGTATACATCCGCATAGCAATAGTAAAGTCCTCCAAATTGTTGAGAAATTGGCAGAAAGTTTTAAACTCATCAAATGTAACTCCGCGTTCATCTCTAACTCGGTCCAACAATCTATCCAGGTACATATCGTACTCGTCAGTATCTAAATATGTGTACCGGAGTAATATCTTAGCAAAGTCCACTTCAGATATTGTTTCGTGACCTTTAGCGAACTCGTGGAACTCGAGTTCAAGAACTTCGGTCTGCAAGTTCTCCATGAATTGACGGAAACCTTCGAATTTTAAATCATTAGTGCCTTTCTTACCGAAGAAGTGAACCTGAAATACATTGCAAATTTAAATATACAAACTTCTTGAATAACAAACTATTTCCTTATTAAATATTATCTGTTGTCCTTCATTCCGTTTTTGCGGAAATAAAAAAAAATATTTAGAAGCCTTGTGTTCTTCCAGACTATGTTAAACATCTATGCCAAATATCAGCGAGATCATGCATTTGTTTTGAAGATACATTCTAACAAAAATCCATCCATCCAAACAATCGCATTTGTAAGATTACAGCTTGATTCTCGGATGTAACAGGAAAGGGAAATTTTCGCAGATGATGGCGACGTTTCTCCACTTTATGCCATTTAAATTTAACTTTCTCAAATACCATTAGAAAGGTCTGGAAATATAATTTAGTTGGATATATATTTTACTGGAGATATTTTTGTGGAATTACCTGTAAAAATGTATCAACGTTATGCCTGCGCTGCAAGCCTTGATCGTCGTTGACATACGTATCCTGAGGCCCGTTACCTTTGCCTTCTTTGTCGTCTTTTTTCTCCTCTCCCTGCTCACCCCCGATGCCCCTCTTACCCTTCCAAGCGAAGCTGAAGATTTTCTCCATCTATATTGAGTGTTATAATTTAATTATAAATTTAATTTTCTTTTCATTCCCATTATTTTTAGGTTAAGTCGAAGTAAATTATGATTTAGAAACGATGAAATTAAACTTTTCAGATAATTTTAGATTGATTTTTTTTTAATAACGGCATTCTTAATTTGAATTTCATGCTAAGCCGAATTTATTTAAAAATAATTGAGTTAAAGAAATAAATGTCAACAACAAGGCACACAGATAAAAGGCTACATGAAAACATTTAAATATACCACAATATGCAAATGTGTATGAAAATTAATAATTATAAATATACAAAGAACACATTTTAGCTGTCAAATTATTAGAATTATGAATGTTATATTTATCATGGAAATCAAATAACATAGACAAAGTTGCATTAAAATGACGACATTAAAATGAATTCAAATATTTTGCACAGTATCATCAGCTCGCTATACGTCCCCTACGAAGGGCTCGGAGCCTACCCTAAGTTAAGGGCGATTAGGCTATAGTCAACCACGCTGGCCAAGTGCGGGTGATCCAAGGGGTGGGCCAAGATATGTGCAGGTTGCATCATGATGTTTCACCATAAGAACGTCGGATAAATGTACATATGTAAATCGGAAATAGAAAAACACATTATGTACCAATGTTCATTCGAACCCAGGACCTGCAGATTGCAAGTCAAGTGCTTGACCCTTGAGCCACCGACGCTCACATTTTTGCCCATATCTGAGAAGAAATTCAAAGATATGAGTGAAGTCAACCAACCCGCATAGTGCCAGTGTGGTTGACTATGACCTAGTCACCCTTGATTTAGGGTAGCCTACGTGTGGACGTATAGAGCTGATGATGATGAAAACATTTTGTTACTAATAAGTATAGCGAGAAGAAAATTATTTAATGCGTTTCCACTGCCGATTAAAAAAAAAACTTTTAGAAAAATCTCTCATAGGTTTAACATGTTTTTGCATAGACATTACACTATTTATCCATGCTCAATAAAAACAAAACTACGACCAACTAACTATTAAACACAAACAAAAGACAAAATTGTTTTCAATTACAAAAGATAATTTCACACATGAATGACGTAATTCATAGACAAGTTTCACAGATGCATGAGCAATTAAAAATTGACCCACAGATTACTATCGACTTACTGTAGATGGGTTATGTACAGTTTCCTTTTGCTCCAGTTTGTTCTTCAACGCACTTGTTGAGACTAATGTAAGCAGCTACGATGAGTACATAATATACATATATTAATATTAATTATATAATAATAAATATGATTGTTTATGAACAAAATAAAATAGCGATAAACGTTAAACTTAAAAGAGTTATTCACAGAAGCATCGTAAACATTTTTAACGTTGTTTGTTTCTTTGGAAAATTATAGGAAGTTGTTTTTTTAAGACTGAAACGGTTTGAAAGGAAAGTGAAATAGGTTATTTATCGGAAAGAAAATTATTTTGTATAAAGACTGAAATTTTCAATATGTGAAAACACTCAAAGTGTGATAATTGATTTTATAGGATAGGCAGAGACAATGTTGTAATGAACATTATATTCTGAACATTAAAAAAATTTAATTAAAAATAATGATATCACGGATTTCTACAATTTAAATAACCAATTAAAGTATAACAAAAAGTATCAAAGTTCAAAATATAATGGTCATTAAACAGAATAAGGATTGCGGATATTTGCAGATATTTGCGGATATTTGCGGATATTTGCGGACATTTGCGGCAACAACTCACTGCCTCCTGACTGTGCGGGTCCAAATCTTTGCGCTCCTTCAACGAACCGCCAAGCAGACGCTGGATCTACGTTCACATCGCAATACACATGCTCAGATGACAAAATAAACATAAATAAATAAAATATAATAAAATAAACAAGCTCTTCTACTAAAAAGGTTTAATACGTGCTGCTAAAAGCTAAAACTATGAACTATTTTGGTCACTAGAAGCAGCTAACTTAAACAAACCACCAGTCCAGTTTTGTCTAGTCAAAACTAAATTATATAATTATAAAGCCCTCTAAATTATCTCATCAAAACCTTAGTCTAGAATACTTATAATAAAAATTGTCTATACCTAATGATTGTTCTATTTCTATTAATTTCTAAAAACATTGATCTAGAATCTATTAACATCACATGTAATTCGTTTTTAAATCTTATCAAGTGGCCAGTAGCGTTCTTAACCATTGTCCAAGGAAAACATAATCTGCGCAGTATTAATATACTTCGTAAACCTTTCTGTATATTTTCTCAATAATTTAAATTAAAAAGTTATACTCACGACTAGAAATTCATTCTTATCGACTCTCTGGTTGCCATCCGTGTCAAACATGTTGAAAGCTATTTGAAAACCTGACGCTGGCTCTGAAAGAAAACAATATAGCATTGGAAATTAAATGATAAAAAACAAAATCAAATCAAATCCTGCTCTTTTCTCTGTAGAAAAAGGGAACAGCACTATTCGTCTTTATCAGCCGTCATATCTTTTTTATAACATAACTAGATGTCGTCCGCGCCGCCGTCCGGCGAAATAAAAAAAAGTAAAAAAGTAGCCTATGTGTTCTTCCAGACTATGTTCTACATCTATGCCAAGTTTCATCAAAATCCGTTGAGCGGTTCCGGAGATATCTTCAAACAAACATCCATCCAAACACTCGCATTTATACATAGTTATATAGTTTGGAAGAACACATATTATGTTTTTTCAATTCCGCGCGGACGTAGCCGCGGACGACAGCAAGTGTTGTATTTTTAGACATTATTTGTTGGAATCCTTTGACGCGAATGACGCGCTTTCGTTACCAAAGTCAAGTGTCAGAATGATTAGTGAGGGGACATAAACGTCGACATTTTAGTAAGGCTAGTGTTGCGCCAGTACACCGGCACAGTGTCGGATTTTATTTCTAATAATATAAATTACAATATACTTACTGGTTAATATCGATAACAGGAACAGATATTCAGTATACGAGATGATACCTGCAAGTTAAAATAAAATATTATAATCATCTTGATGAGCTTGTTGTTCGTCATGTATGCAGTGTGAACTTACCCTTATCCCTCATGTTACGAAACATCTGTGGGGAACCCTTCTTCAGCGGCGGTGTGTGGTCACGCAGCTGTTCTATCTCCTTCGTCGTCAGCACGCGTCGCTTCAGACGAGCTGGGAGTAAATAGCAACAATGAAGAATTTCATCTAATACATGTAAGTAAGCGGTTTGCGAAATTTTAAATCTTACTAATATTATAAATGCGAATGTTTAGATGGATGGATGGATGTTTGAAGGTATCTCCAGAACGGCTGCATGGATCTCGCTGAAATTCTACATAGTCTGAAAGAACACATATGATACTTATTAAGTTTGTTTTTAATTCCGCGTAGACGGGGTCGGAGCCGACAGCTAGTGAATAAATTTAGGTCTTCTCGACCATCGCGTCCATCGGCTATCGGCGATGACCTGATGAGCGATGATTTTTAGTACCTTTTTACATTAAACCTCTCGACTCTGACTTCGCGCGAGAACGCCAATGATACTCACATAGATTGTTCATAGAAAAATAGTATTCGCGCTTGTCGCGTCAGTGGAAAATGGTTCTAAGTCGTTAGTATAGTTGAAGGTGTAGTGATGTGACTCACGCCTAGGTTCCTGCTCGACGACGGACTCGAGGAAGTCCTGAGGCGTCATATACAGTTGACCGCCATGTTCCGCGCTCGCGAACTTTATGAACCTTCGCTCGCGTGACGTCAGCTTTACTGATTTCGACAACTCTTCCGGTTGCTGGAACAACAAAAAGATTAAATAAATTGGCATGTACTTTAACGTATCTCTAACTTAAAAATTTATACTAGCGGTCGCCCGCGACGGCGTCAAAGAATATAATTAGTAGTCTATGTGTTCTTCCAGACTATGTTCTATATGTATGCCAAATTTCATCGATATCCGTTCAGCCGTTTTGGAGATACCTTCAAACAAACGTCCATCCATTCAAACATTCGCTTTTATATTAGTAAGATGTATGGTGGTCGCTTCTTTACTTGACTTAAATCTGGTAGCCATTTGTTTGGTTGTTGAATTTTTAGTTACAGCAAACGATATCTACAGACTCTTGGTACGTACTTTTTTATATACTTATTTTCAATATAATATTCCTTACTTCTATTTTTTTAATTTAATTACATGTCTTTGTATTAGGGGTCTAGAGAGAGACGGAAGGACAACAAAATGATCCAGGGTTTAGTTTTTCTCCTTTCGAGGTACGGAACCCTAATTTTTTTTTAATATATTTTACACATAATTAATGAAAATGTAAAACGATCCTTCGTTTACATCAGAACGAGAATAATTTCTTAATAATTAATATAACTAAATAAACATTAAATGATATTTTAGTTAATAAAAGTGAATACGTGTGATTTAAAACGGCTC